AGCCGGTGCCTGCGAGCAGCACTCCGGCCAGGTCTGGTTCGTCCTCTCCGTCAGCTCCCCCTAGTGCCAAGGAGCCTTCGCCCGTCAGGGTGGCCATGAGCGCGTCTTGGGCTGCGACACTCACGAGCCCCCACACCAGCGGGTGGTCCACGCGAGCTCCGCCGAGCGACGGAGGAGAGCTGGTGCGGCTCGCGCTTTTTGCTTGGCAAGCAAGTGGACCAGCTGGAGAGAGTCTCGCCCCCACCGGCCGCTGACCTCGCAGGAGGACCAGGAGGCGGCCGGATTGGCCAGTCGTGAGTTCATGGTGCCTGCGTCGTTTGCGCTGCTCGGCCTCTCGTAGGGCGGCCGCGTCGGTGTGGAATTTGCGCGGTCGGTGCCAGCCGCCCCTGCGGAGGGGGGACACCATGATGCTGTCGCAGCACAGGGGGGCCCCGCTTGGCGAGATGCCATAGACGACCATATCTAGCTGTCGGCGGTCTTGTGAGTCGTGGACGACGGCGTTGGTGTCTCGCAGAAGTTATTGGGGAACTACCCTCTCTCCTGCTTCTCTCGCGACCCTCGCCCAAGCTCGTTCGAACGGCGTCGCGCGTCTACCAGGAGCCCAGTGCGTGGGCTCGCGGCCAGGTGGTCTCCGAGCGGGCCCAGCGGGGCTCGGCAGCCCGGGTGGCTGGCGGCTCCGCACCTGCGTGGGAGGATCGGCAGTGGGATCCTGAGGCGCTGGCGCCTGGCCGCCTGGAACTGCGCGGGCTTGAACGCGTGCCCCTCGGTGGTGGGCAGCGCGTGTAGCCCGTTAGCCAGTAGGATGCTCTTGGTCCTGAGGATGACCTTAGAATGGTTTGGTTCGCCATGGTGAGTGGCATGAATGCGGTTCGCCATGGTGAGTGGCAGGACTGCGTGAATGACTTGGCTTTCACGTACTCCTCCTTCGGCGCCCTGCGCGCCGTCGCATCCTCTGAGCCAGTGCCGGCTTGTGCGCGGCACGCTCACCGCGACCGCGCGCATTTCAATTGCGCTTCAGGAAGTACCGCGGCTCCAGCCCTGCGTGGCAGCGCCCCGCCCGGTGATGTCCGTTGCCCCCTGGTCTCTCGGAAGACACTCTTAGGGGCCTCTTGATGCTGCTCGGTCATTCGCTCCTCTGGCGGAGGCGACTACTGCCATGTGACGCAGTTCTGTTGAGGAAGGACCCGCTTTTCGAGGGAAACGAGCGGCATTGCCTCCTCTGCCTTGCGCGCAATGGTGCCGACCCGCGTCGACTCGACTTTTGCTCAGTTACGTTACAGCGCAGCCCGCGCGCAGCCGAAGCTCAATTACACGCAGGGCCCGCCGCCCTTGTGGTTGCACCTGTGGCCCCACTTGACCGGTTGAAGTTATGCCTGCCCAGCGCGGCTGGCGCCTGCGGCTGGGCGCCGAAATGGCGGGGCGCACCATCGCGGCCTCCGCCCGCGCACTGCTTCGACAGGAGGGGCACCGCGGCCGCGCCAGGTTGGGCCTGGCGGATGGATAAACAGCCAGCCAGCACTTGGCCAGGAGTGCGCGCTCGCACTTTCTGCGGCTATCTCCCCCCGAGGCCCGCGCGTCGCTGAATGCCCCCATCTTGCGGGCATGACCCCTGGGCGCAGCGCGGGCGGACCCTGGGGCGCGCAGCGCAAGTCTCCAGCAGTGTAAATTCGGGTCCGTCCGGCCCGCCATGCCGGCAGCAGACGGCGCCCCAGCGAGCGGCCTCAGCGGTTTGCCAGTTCTCGGGCGCCCCTGTTCAGGCTTGCACTCTTCGCCTACCCGGCGCCCCGCAGAGTTCCTGAACCTGGACCTCGCCCCGCCCACGCGGCAAATGATTTGGCTACGGGTTGCCGTTCGCCCGACGCGACAGTGCGTTGGCCATCCTCGGCGCTTGACCCTCCGATCGTGCCTCGACGCCTGGCACGGCGCGCTGCGTGCGTAGCTGGGTTCCGGTCTGCTTCGCGGCCGCCGCGCGCCCCCCGACGCCCCCTCCTTGCGCGCACTTCATTTTTTCGGAGAGGGGTGCCTGAGGAGACGCGCGCGGCGCAGATTCGCGAACGATTTCGAAGTCGCGATTTGCTGGGCGCACTTTGGTTGAGACGAGTGCGCCTTTGTCGCGCGCGCTGTTCTTCTCACTGCGGCCTTTGAGTCGCAAAGGGCGCGCGACGCGCCCCGACCTTGTCCTGGCGTGGCGAGGGCGGGCTAGGCCAGCTTCCTTTCCACGACTGCCGGCCAGGGAGCCTCGTCGCAGGCTGATGGGGCTTCCAGCGTGTCCTGGGAGCGTTTTCTTGTTCGTTCCCAATACGAGTGCCGCCAGTCTTTGCGGATCTTCTCAGCGCTCCCCAGTCTCGCGCGCAGCTCCTGGGTAGCTCCTAGGCGGGACTTCGTAGGCTCGCGGGCAGCGCCCAGGCAGCTGCGCAAGCTTGCGCGAGCGCCGAGGCATGTCTCTGCAACAGCCCGTGCAAGCTTGCCAGGCAGGCTTGGAAGCTCCGTTCCATCGTTGCACAAACGCGCGGCCGCGCGCGAAGGAACGCGCGCGCGCGCGTGGAGGCGCGCGCGGGCGCGCGCCTTCGCCCGCGGGCGCGCATTTGCGCTCGCGGGCGCGCCCCTGCGCGCGCGAGCGCGGGCGGGCGCGCGCCTGTGACCGTCGGCGCCCGCCCGCGTCGTCCGCGCGCAGGCAAGGGCTGGCGCGCGTTTGCAGGCGCGCAGTGCGCACGATGACGCGTTTTCATGCGGAGCTGCCCTGCTACATCTGGGTTTGGGAGTGCACGTGTGCGCGGCGCCGAGGCGAAGGCCACATCTTGAAAAGAGTCGCCCTCCATCCTCGAGAATGCTGCTAACTTTTAAAGTAAATGCGCGCGGCGGTGCTAAGGCGAGAGCCACCCTCCATCCGCGAAGCTGTTGCGAATTCTTGTTTGACAAGTGCGCGCGTCGAGGCGCAGGCCACATCAAACAAAAAAACAATTTGACTCCGCGAAACCCATGCGAACTTTGACGCTGGATGCGCGCCGCGCTAAAGCGAGGTCCAGATTTGGAAAACGGCCCGCCCACCGCCCACCATCCGCAAAACTCTCGCCAATGTTTACCAGGAGTGCGCGCGGCGCGAAATCTAGAGCCACACGTTGAAAATGGCCTGCCATCCATCCGCGATAGCGTTGCAAGTTCGAAGCCTCAGGGCCACAGAAGGCGAAGAGGTATCGCGCGAGACGCCCAGCCCGCTCGACCGACACGCTTCGAGGAGCGACAGGGAGGATATTATATGGACAAGGATGGAGCTGCGCGACTCCAGGAGGACAGAGGATGTGGGGAGGGATATCCAAAAACTACCTTCGCCGGCCTACGCATCGGCCGGCTGGCTTGCCAACTCTGCGACCAGCTGAAACGCCTCGCGGCAAAGCTCCTCGGCTTGGCTGCGCGTGCTGAAGCCGAACGCTATCAGGGCGTCGCTGCGCCGCTGTTGGGCACAGCGTGCCGCAACGAACTGGGGGGCCTTGCGGCGGCACGGCGTTGCGGGTAGCAGTGGTGTTTGGATAAACCTCTTTCGACCCTTGGGGCCGAAATGGTTTGGCCAGGACGCCCGTGCAGCCTCCGACGGGTTGCAGGTCTCGCCGATGGTCGCGCCCTGAGCCCAGTGGGGATGCATCCCACGGCTGACGCGGCTGCGTGAATTCTTCACCCGCGGCGCCGAGGAAGAGGAAGAGGAGGAGGAGGAGGAGGAGGAGGAGGAGTAGGAGGAGGAGGAGCAGGAGGAGGAGGACTGAGTGAATGAGTGAGTGAGTGAGTGAGTGAGTGAGTGCGCGTGTGAGTGAGCGAGTGAGTGGGTGAGTGAGTCAGTGCGTGCGCGAGTGCGTGAGTGAGTGAGTGAGTGCGTGTGACGTGAGTGAGGGGCGCGGCACTGCGGATCAACACGAGGACTCAGCTACACTGGAGGGGTTGGGAAGCAAAGAGGCGATGGCACATACAAAGGAAGTGGGACCGTGAGGGACACACATAGCATGCACGACATATCTCCCTTTGCGGAGTCGAAGCAGGAGTGTTGTGATCATCTAGTTTTTCAAACAGCGACTTTGATGCTTGTTCATAACTGTTCCCCCATCTTCCACACCATTTCGCCTTTGGAATGTTGGCTGGTGCGTTGTCTTGGTTGTCTGTTTGTCATCGCCTCACCGCTGCTACGCTCACAATTTGGAAACGGTGCTCTCGTGTCACCGCTTGCCGCATTCCAATCTTGCCTAGCGAAAGCGACATTATCGGCTCGTTTGGTGTTTTAGCGCCAGCGCTGGCTAATCCCAGCGCAGCAGTTGCGACAGAGACAGAGAAGAGGCGGACAACAGTAGCGATACAGGTTTAGAGACAAAGACGAGGTCCGCCAAACCGTAGCATCGTGTTGCCATCCTGTCACCCTGGGCAGATTTACTTTGCCGTGGCATGTCGTGCAGCCACATGAGGTACGGGCATTTTCCGATCACCTCTATCCTGCTCGCCTGTGGTACACGATTCAGCCGACACAGGTTTGAATATGCATGGTCTGCCAGAGTATGGAGTACTTCCTAGACAGAATTAGCTGACGTCGCCCGCCTTCGCAAGTTTGCCCGTGCCTGATCTACCACGGCCATGAGCGGGGCGGTGAAATTATGGGAGGAGGATGAGGAGGAGGCGGAGGAGGAGGAGAGAAGGAGCAGGAGGAGGATCTCCACCTCCGTTTCCGAGCTCTTGTGCACCACAACTCTTCGCAAGTTTGGCCCCCAAACATCCGACGTCATGATTTCTTCAACGCGGCGCCCCCGGAGCGCCAGACCCATCCTCCAGGCCCTGTTTCCCGTCTCGCCTCGTGTCCTGTTTTTGACGGCTCCGGATCCCAAATGGGCCCGCAAAAGGCAGCACCGACAGAGAAGACGACTGTCCCGAGCTTCCGCGACGCAGGATGTCTCGGTTTTCGTCCCGCGTAACGCCATTCCCCATCCTCTCCACCGCCCCCCCCCCTCCCCCTCTGTCCAGCGAAG